ATTCTCCCCAAACACTGTCAGGTACATCCTAGATCGTGAGACCGAGACAAGTAAATTTGAAAATAGGAAAGGAAGAGCAGAACACCTAAACTCAATGATACTGATGTTAAGTATCTTCGTTATGCAGCCTTCGAGACAGAAGGAAGACTGCCACTGATCTCAAGCATGAGATAAATGACCATTTACCAAATGAGAGAAAAATGTCCAGATCTATAGTATCAAGAAGACTCAACGAGAATGAAATATTTAGTTGTTTGTCAGTTAAAAAACCTTCACTTCGATCTCCAAATATTGCCAAGAGACCGAAATAAAAGGTTCAAAACTGGACTGCTGATGATTGGAAAGGGTGTTATGGTCGGAAGATAATGACCCCAAATACTCATCCAACCTATGCAGAAATTACTTAGCTAAGAAAGAAGCTGCTGGAATCATTCAAATGATGCAATGGCCGCCGCAAAACCCCGATCTCAACCCAACTGAGTAGATCTGGGATTTGATAAATCAAAAGTTACTTCCAAAGAAGTTTTATGGGAGTGTATTAGAGACATTTGGAGTAAAATCCCAAAGGACACTTTGATTAAATATGTTACAACAATACCTGAAAGACTGTCTTCAGTTATTAAAGCAAAAGGGGGACAGACAAAATATTAACTGTTTGCTGAATTCAAGCACTTCCGCTGAGATTATGAAGAATAATAAAATTTTGATGTTTCACCTGTGATTTACCTTCCATTGTTCTTTAAAAGTAGCCTGAAATCTAATTTTTGACTTTGTCCTAACAGTACTGTATATTTACACATTTTGCTTCTGAGGAGCTTGGTGATGGAAATAAGGTTACAATATTATTTACAGAAGTGTACCAACTTGTTAAAATTAAGTCGCTTGAGATTATGTTAGGTGTAATGTAATAAAAGAAGGGGCTTTCTAGATTAAATAAATTAATATATTAGGACTGGATTGCACAAGTTTACCCGAAGTGTTTTATCATAAATATTTTAAAACTGTGCTTAGTTCTTACTTTAGATGGCTTTCATTAATCATGTTTGTAGTAGAAAAACTTATATTTTGTCTAAAGTACACTAAGAGTGCTTACTCTTGGACTGAACAGGCTACTTAAACTATATTACTATAAATATATTGAAGACTTGACGAGGTACTTCGCTAAATGCCATCAGCATTGATAATTATCAAGGTTGGAATAGGTAAACTTTCCTATGGTGACTAACACATAGAGTTTATTGTATATTATGGTAAAAGAGGAATAACATACTGTACAGCGTTTAGGGCAGCAACAAGCTACGAGACCTCAAAAAACTTGGAACAACGGTCTTATCCACCAAGTGAAGACTACTGTCACGAAAGAGAACCCCCTGACACAAAAAAGTATTTTTAGTGATATTGGGCGAATGTCATTGTACAGTAACCATGTTGAATTTGACGAATGCTTGCAAGGTAAAAATTCACAAACTTACAATACACCTAAAAATCAGAAAAATGTTTGAAGGACAGGATTCACAGCAATCCTTTTCGGCTACATGCTTGTCAAGCCCCTAGATACAGCTCCATTGGACTCTTATGCCTTTGGTCTGCTGTAACTGTAATATTAGAAGCCGACGACCACGAGGATGTCTTGAAAGTTGGTTAAGAAGTATGGTTTAAAAATCACCTCGTCGTCCTTTGCAGAAGTTGTTGCAATGGAAATTGCGGTATTCAACTGAGAAACATGGGACCGGAAACATCGTTTTATAAAGTGCGGCTGCTCTAAAAAATACACTATGTTTGCTCACGTTTAGGCCTGAACACGCTTATCTAACGTATCTTATAACAAATATCCTAAAGGTTATACTAGGTACTTAGCTAAAGTGCTGTTCACATATTGATAAAGATCAAAGGTGGAATAGGTAAACTCCCATATTATATAATATACAAGTTCAAGACACTAAAGTTGAAGTGGCAAGCTTATCTAAAGTGCTTCTCTAAATAAATTGTGTTAAATTATATATATATTTACTCGCCTAAGATGTCTATATATATATATACATGTTCAGTAGGAAAATTTACCTAAAGTGCCTGAGATTATGTCCATTTTATGCATAACTTTGTCGCGTTCTCCAATTCCAGCACCATTTTCTCCATATAAACCTACAGCATGAACTTCATCGACAAAGGTGAGAGCTCCGTGTTTGTGGGAGACGTCACACATTTCCTCTAAAGGACAAACGGCTCCTAAACGTCCACAAGTAAACAGAATATTGTAAATTATATATATGTATAACCTGTATAGTGTTTAACAGAAGAGTTAGTGAACATGACTTTCCTTTTATTTTAGCGAAAGTGATGAAAAATCACGCAATAAGACTAGCAATAGTTTTAATTATTCTATTAATAACTGGCTTAATTAATTTTTTCAGCAAAAAAAGTATGATCATATGACATTTCAATAATATTATTTAATACAAATAGTTTTTAAACTATGAGCTCTGACGATTATTAAGTGAAAACGGCTGAGCAAATTCGAATGATTTGCTACACAATTTAAAGACCACGGTTCGAGCCGCGAAATGCCGCTAAACATGGTTCATATTTTTAACTGTGTGTGTAAGTGGAGAGGTATTATAGCCGTGACAGTTAATCCCGCTTCTTCCAAGGTAAGCTTCCAGTGCTGCTAACTAGTGCCCTCCTTTCGGGTAGAAGTTCTAATCTGGAGAATAGCTATGTCTGAACTTGTGGTTTCTGACACCTGGCCGTTTAACCTATAATGTGCCTTTTTGGTTAAAAAAACGTAAAATTAAACAAAAATCCAATGTTTCTGAACGAAGATTAGAGAAGCAAAAACAATATTTAAACGTTTAAGGTGTTACGAAGCGACTTTTTTTTTTACATAAATGTAATGTTAAGGGTCTATTATAACACACTGCCACATTTTTTAATCCAAAAATATAACCTAAAGGACCAAAATTGTGAAAAGCCATTGATATTTTGCTGCACTTTCGCTCAGAAGTCCTACTTGACAAGATGCGGCTGTCATTCTGCATTGAGTTAAGTTGTTTGTTTTCAAGTGTGTTTGTTTTTGTAATAGAATAGAACTGAAGATGGCGTCTCTGAAAGAGGTTTCTACTGTTGTTCCGGTAACACTAACTGATAAATACGTTGCACATCCTATCATAATTTGGTTTTAGCAGCTCGTTTTCAATTGGTTCCCGCTCATAACTGTCTGTAGGCATAGATAATTCACTAGTGCCGCAAGTGTTTACAAACAAAGAAGTACAATCTAACTATTCGAAACAGTAGGTTTACTAATAAACGTAAGACGACGTTGACTAGCTGCCTTCCCTTTAGTTTATCACTTCAAAATTAGGGACGGATAAAGTACATAACCCTTGAGTAGCTTTATGCCACAAAATGCCATAAACCACAAAATACACCATAAACATTGCATTCCTTTATTTTAAAGGAAAAGCCTTCACAAATCCTTTCACTGTTTGCACAACATCATAGCCAGCTCCTCCTTAACCGAATACTAAAAACGCTAGCATAAAATACCCAATTTACGCTGCGGGTTTCAAATGCTTTTGATTCATAGAGGCCTCAATCTACCGACCGATCAAGCTCTTCCATTATCCTCGACTACTTCTTTAACTATCCCAAGGGAGAGGGGGACAGTAATAGACAAAAAGACCCGTTAGGATACCCGCCCGAAGTATCTAAGCTTGTGTTCTAAGTTCATTCCTGCTAGCTAGCTAGTGAGGATATGAATACGGTTTCAAAAACTGCGCCCCAGGAATCCCGAAGGGGGATTAATACAAAATCCAATGCCACAATAGAGTTTAGCGACTTAGCAACCCTGGAAACCTATTACTTGACTCTTATTGTGCCTGGATGACTTTCCGGACACGCTTTAGCCTCCCTCCCTCCTTCCCTAGGTGGGAGAAGCCAATTCATATAAATAATGAAACCTCAAAATCGCCAGATAGTAAGTAAGCTTTCCAAGTTTGGTCCTGCTAGCTCCAAAATTGTAAAAGTAGTTCGCAGACAAACAAACAAATTCACACGCATAATAGAATATCTTCCTACTTAGTACAGTGCCTTACAATAGTATTTACCCCTGCAAAGTTTCTACATTTTTTTGCCGTCTGACCTTTCAATCATGACACTTTCAAATGGAACTTTATATTTAGAATCTACACAATCTACCCCCAACTGAGAAAGCTAAAAAACGCCGATATTATATAAGTAAGTTAGATTTCCAAAGAACATTAGAATATTCTCAATTGCATAAGTATTCAACCCCTTTGATACAGCAATCCTAAATCAGTTCAGGTGAAAAAGAGTAGTTTGAAAGGTCAAATAAAACAACTTCGTTAAAAAAAAATGTACATTATTTCTATTTCATCAAAATGTGACATTAGTTGTAGGAGTGAATGCTTGTGTAAGGCACTGTATATGAAAATAAGATACTAGGGGTCTTTCGTTCCAGAAATTTTCTTGTTTCTTGATCTAGTCAACTATCAGCGGTAAGTCTGAAAACTTATAACGCTTAGAAACAAACAAACTGGTTTCAATGCCCGTTGTGGTCATAGCACAGAAAACCCATTGCGTAGCTTGGTTCTTAACAAACAACTCTAAAGAAGTTTGTTTTGTTTTAGTACAAAGTTATACAATGGGGATCAAACCTTGAATTATATTGTTATAAGTTCAAAAGAAGGAGAAATGTTTACAAAATTAATAATCTGATATTTTTGATCAAATGATTGTCGTTTCAAAATTAGCACTGTTTTAACTGTTTAATAAAAGAGCAATATAAAATTAACCATTTACTTATGTAATTTTAAAAACTTGAACGAATAGCCTATTAATTATCGCATTTGAACGTAATTTTATACTCAGGTCTTTAATTTTCCGAATTTTGTGTGGTTTTAATAATAGATAGTTCAACAGAGAACTTGTATTGAACTCAGGGTAAATTATTCAGTTAATACAAATACCAGTGTGCCACAAAACTTTAAATCAAGTTTAAGTCTAGTGATATGGTCTACAATAATTGAATACAAAAGGAAACACTATCAGCACCATTAAAAAACAAAACAAAGAAACAGAGAAAACAAGTTATTATTGATTACATAAAGATTGCATTTTTATCATTAAATGTACAGTGGAATCGGACTTTCTGTGACAGCATAGAACAGGTTCCGTGGTTTTATTAATCTTACTTTTAGTTATTATTCACAGATACAGATATTTATACAGAGATAATAAATAAGCTTGAGGGCTTAATTTTGGGAAGACGCAGCATAGGTAACCCGTTATATAGCTATTTTCTTAACAACAAACAATGTTCCTACCTGTCATAGAGTGGACAGTTTCAAACGCCACAATCTTCGGAACATTAACGTGGATTTTGCTCAAAAGTTGGTCCAGGTGTTCTGGGTCATTATGACGAAAAATGTGTTTAAAAGCTCCACTATTCCGAACACCTTGAATCATTGAGGCGTGATTTCCCGCATCAGAAAACACGTGACAACCTTTGAAAGATTAACACGGAAATCACAAACGATCGCTGTGACTAGTCACATAATTATGTTTAATGACATAAGCATTTTAGCGATCATTATCGCACTGACGTGAATAACTGCGTATCATTAAAATCATAAGTATTCTTTTAATTTCTTAATAAGAAATTACTATGATCTTAAAAACATTTTTGTTAATTTTTCTTTCATTGCCAGAGATTGGTGGTCTTATAAAATATATATTCTTATGTTACAGTCGTAAAAAAAGCCTTCAAAAGAAGAGCGAAGTTGCCCTAATGATTAATCACTTTGTGCAACCTCTCTGTGAAATGTGATTGTTTAGTAGCCTGATTTGATATATTTATGTGTTTAACACAATATGCGTAGAGTTTGATGTTTCATAAGCTCCCCAAGTGTTTCTGAAGTTCAGTGTCGTTCAGTTTTAGTTCGATAACAGTAATTTCATAATGAGGCAAGAAGTTATAAGTCGGTATTACCAAAGTTTCATCATCCAGATGTAAAAGTACTTCGATTTATAATGCAGTTAATTGTGAATGATATTAATGCTTTTCCTCTTGATGCAAATATTCATTGCATCAGAAGGGTGTCTTTGGGGCTTCTGACCATATTCTAGGATCGAGAGCATCATAAAACAATTTTATAAAAAATACGTAAATCAGTAATGAAATGCTGTCAGCTCCAATTAAACAAGTTTTGCCCTCAATGCCCTAGCGAGTATAGAAAAGAAGAAGCGTAACTAATTTCAGCAACTTCAGATCTTACAAAGATAAATATTATGTTCCGAGGTACGATGCACTTACAAGTAGCTCTTTGGTCCCAACTTATTACCTCTGTATGGGGTACGAGATATAAAACATACATTTATTTATGTGATAATCCATATGTACATATATTCTAATGTATTCTAAAACACAAGAAAACACCAGGGAAAATGTTCGAATTCTAGTTTAATCTTCAACTCTGATGAAAATACAACACGTTGTTATTATTAACCTGTTTTTGAAGTTTCAATGTAGGTCTCTTTAAGAGTTGTTTGTTTTCTTAAGAACGCCTTATAAACGATTTTCAGATTTAAACAAGTATCTGAAACTATTTATGTCACGTCAATACAAAAAAACAAAAAAAAATAGCACAGTAAAATCCGTGTACGTAAACCCTCATATTATATTTGTTCCTGGTATATACTGGTGTTTCTCGCAATTATTAGTTTTCCGTGTGCGTGTCACTCCTTTCATGATTGCTGCGGTTCTGTTCAGCAGTAAATCCCCCCCTCCCCCTTCAACTGATAAAATCATTTTTATAAAGACATGACATCAATAGGGAACTAATATGCTTTTTGCTGTCATGGTAATTATTTGTGAACCATATATTAAGTAATGAAACGATAACATCAAATACTCTTTAGCAACTGCTTCGTCTTACATAAAACACACTAAATATACCCCCAACGCTCTCAGAAATTCTCAAGTGATAATCATTTTAAAGAATATGCAATATGACATCAGTGGTACATTCCAGCACCGCTACCAGTTTCTCTAAATTCAATAATCATACCTGGTAAACTCTTAGCTAAAGTAAACAAGGTCGAGTCATTGGCTACAAAACATGAGGTGAATAATAAAGCCGCATCCTTCTGGTGTAGAAGTGCGAGCTCTTTCTCCAAAAGTTCATGGAAAGGAGAATTTCCGGATATATTTCGAGTTCCGCCAGCACCACAACCATGTCTTTCAACAGCTTCACTATAATTGTCAGAATTAACATAATTTATACAAACAGAATCTCATAATATATTTAGATTCCTTTACCATCACAACCACGTCTTTCAACAGCCTCACTAGAATATAAGCATTAATAAAATTCGTATTTAACAAGGTTCCATAAAATAATTTAGGCTTGTTTGTTTATTTGTTCACAATTTCGAGGGAAGTTTCGCAAGGGCGTACTATACATAGTCGTTTCTAATTCTGAGCTCACAGACTAGAGGAAAGGCAACTAATCAACAGTATTTGCCGCCAACTCTTGGAAAACTCTTGCCCGATCAAATAGTGATATTTGACAGTCACTGTTATATCACACTCATGACCGTAAAATGCGGAGTGCGTTTTGTGCAGCAACGGGTTGTGAACCGTGAATCCTCAGATTCACACTCTGGGAAGTTAACACCCCCGTCCAAATAATTTAGGTTCTCTCGCTATACCACCACGTCTGTAAACAATCTAACTAAGACATGGAGAACAATAGAAAGTGTTAAGATACTTTAGGGTCTGTCTTCAGTTTCTATAAAATATTAACAATAAAAAAAGAGAATATCAAAAAAAGTTTCATAAGCAAATTTAGGCTCCTTAATCACCACTTTTCAACAAAAACAAAGTGCAATTCAGTAATGTTAACCTTTTAAAAACTGAATTGCCTATATATTCGCCTTTAGTCCTAATTACTATTTATTTAACATTACTATACATTCGTGTTTTTCTTTACTTCCTTGTATTACGCTGCTCACAACACAATTTTCTTAATTTTTGTTCTATAATAAATTGTCTTCTGGATTCCTGTTACAATCATTTTTCCCTTCTCTCCTTCAACTGTAAACAGCAATGATTGGAAAACTGCCCGCAAGAGTTTAAACCAAAAATGAACATTGTCAATAACTAAAGTCTATTCGTAATTGTTGATTAAGTAACATAAATACGTTAACTCAAAACTGAATTTCACAAACTTACTCTCGATAATTTTTAACGTCGATGATATGTCGTATACTTCGAACCAAACAATATCTCTCCTTCAACTGTTTATATAATCTTCTTCACAACTTCTGTTAACGACAGTACTATCTACTTGACACTCAGTACATAAAATGTTACCTTCTTAGCTTTCGTTATATACTTACATAACTGCTTTTTTAACCTCTGGGTGTCGGCTCATTCCTAGGTAATCATTACTACACCACACTGTGATGAATGGGGTACCAATGCTGTCTTCTTGCGCAAGAGGAAATTTTTCAGCTATTCGGTTCACTTTCCTAAAGATGCGATAAGAATGGTCTTTCTTCTTTATGGCAATTTGCTCTTGAAAAAAATCTTCATAACAGAATGCTGACACTATAAATTTAACATAAAACATTATAAAAAAATTCAAACTTTTCCACGTCTCACGAATTTTATCAGTAGTAATATCTTTTATTTTCAAGTTAATACTTCACAGTTGAAACTACAAAAACCCTAAAAGAATCTCCGAGTTAGCTGAATATATGGTTTGTTAGAGTTTGTTTGTTAGAAGTTAAGCACAAAGCTACAAAATGGGCATCTGTGCTCTGCCCACCACGGGTATCGAAACCCGGTTTTTAGCGTTGTAAGTCCGCAGACATACCGCTGTGCCACTGGGGGGCCTGAATACATGGACAACCACTAATACTGAAAACTATTTTAATTGTTTTTTGCACTATTTAAATTATGGCACTAACGTTAGAATAAACAACCGTTATTCTCCAGATAATAATAACAAACTTTTTATTTCGGCCAATATTTAACGATTGCATCAGGGCTAGTGATACAAGAGCTGTTTGGTTTGAAGTTAACTACCCTTAAAATTAGTTTACATTGTTATCTCAATACATTATCATATTCTGATGGGTATTTTGCTAGCCATTTCCGCACTGTATCCGATTTGTTTTAGTTGAATAATGTAGCGATTTTCATTGTTGGATAAATAAAAGTTATTGTTACTAAAATATTAGTTACTACAGAATAATAAACCAATAAGCTCGCTACTATTAAGAGGTTCGTTCTTAGGCAAACCCAGAAGCTGATTATTCTAATGATGCTCGTTACTGGGTAAATTAAATGTCCATTATTGCTGAGAAAATAGTAACAAATCAAACTTACGAACTCACTATAGGTACAAGAATCATTTTTGAACAATCCAGGGCTGATTACTCTAAGAAGGCTTGTCATTAAACAATCCAAGGGTAACAACGGATGCCACTTTCCTTCTTATATGACGCTTTATTTTCTCAGTTTTTTTCAACTTTGTATCAAATAAACTACAAAAATTATAAACAAATATTGAAGTTCTACCTTTCAAACAAACCTGATAACAACGAATTTTAGTAAATGTATAATCTTTAGCCCATAAAATTTTAAAACGCGTATGATAACTCAATGTGATAAAGCAGACTGAAAACTACACAATAATCCAAACGTGATCTGGACAGTATTAGAAGTTCTTTAATAAGAAAAGCTGTCTCTGTAAAAGAAAAGATAACTCTCAAGAAAATATTTGGTGAACCACACGCTATTAGAAAAAAAGGCTATTGATCTAACTGCTATTGAAAAAAACGTCCTGTAAGGAAAAACTCCTGTTTAAAAATTCTTCTCTGAGGGCATTTGGATTACAAGCATATTGTTACGACAGCGGAACTCCCATGACGCTGGTAACACGTCATGAGATACTAGAAGGGTCATGACTTTCTCTGGCAACTCTAGTCTTTTCTAGGCGCCCTATATTTTAGTATATAAGCCCGACAAATAAGGCGGAGATAGGAGAGCACATAGAGAGATATAGAGACAGATAATTGAATCAAGCGAACGGTAGTGACCGTAAGTAAAGTGCATGAGTCGTTGTGAATTATAGCGTGTGTTTAAATTAAAGTGACTGTGGAAATTCTGTGTGTTGCAAAGTTGTATTGAGAAAGAATAAACTAGTTTCATTTAACGAAAGGACTTGTATCGCTGAAGTTCCTCGGGAAGAATTTATACTGGAAATTAACAAACGACCAGGGCTGTAAAAATTGGTATCAGAAGTGGGATAAGAAAGAGAGAAAAAAAAAGAAGAAGAAGATGGAAACGAGAGGTGGCAAATCAAACTACAGCTTAGCAGATTTGATGGCAGCAACACAAGAACAGCAAAAGAAACAAGAAGAGAGACAATAGCAGTTGCAAGAAAACCTGCAACAGTGTCAGCTCGAACAGCAAAATAAACAAGAAGAGAGTTTACAGGAGTTGTTGGAGGAAAAAGAAAAGAAACAAGAAGAGAGATTACAGCAGTGGCAGCTCGAACAGCAAAATAAACAAGAGAGATTACAGCAATTGTTGGAGGGAAAAGAAAAGAAACAAGAAGACAGACTACAGCAGTGGATGGAGGAGAAAGAAAATGAACAAGAAGAGAGACTACAGCAGTGGCAATTGGAACAAGAAAGGAAACAAGAAGTACAAATGAAAAAGCTTAGTAAATTTCAAAGTGAATTAAATACCTTAAAGGATGATTTACTGTCTTTTACACAAGGAGGATATATTAGCCATGGACCTAATCAGCCTCAGACAATGGAAAGCCCCTTCCAGACCCCGCAGCTAAACCCTAATGCAGACATCTTCAGTCCTGTCAGAAGTCACATTTCAGAGTGTCAGCAACAGAGGTGATTTAGTACGAAGGAAGCCACAGGAATTCGATGGGAAGGCATCATGGGAAGCATATAGAGCGCAATTTGAGCTCCTGTAGTTTATAGGAAATAATACTCAATTTCTTGCTTTTCGCAGCATAGTTTCTCTTGGCTCATTTTGTATATTTATGAATTACATAATATTTTATAACAGGTTATAATCTTACCCATCGTAAAATTTTAGAGTTTACCTGTCTTTTTATCTTTTGTTTTCTGTGTTTTTTCCATTTCAATAATGTCTTCTTCTAATCCCAGACTTCCAGTTTTTAAACTAGGTTTGATGACACCTAGAAAAGGCCATTCCTTTGTCTGGGCTGAGTAAGAGAAGAAAAACAAGAGCATTTGGTTCATGTATTTTCGAAAGGATGCTTAACCACTGAAAATATTTATTAATCAAACGACTAGAAAAATTTTAGTTAAATTTATATCAAACACTGATTTTCAATAAAACGCATAAAAATTGCATCTATACTTTTAAAACGTTGTATATAACTGACAACAGTGGGTAACAAATGAACCATTCGAAGTCTTAATAATTTTCTTAGGATTTAAAACCAACAACTTTCATCATTGAAAAAACTTTAAATTCATATTTTCAAATGAAGTAAGATAAACTAAGTGTACATTTCCTATGAGCAAATATCATAGTCGGTAGACTCTACATGTATATGTAGGGATATCCAAGGTACTCAATAGGCATAATACAAATATGCACTCTAAAAATCAACAGTGACAGAGCGTTTTATTTTAGAAGATGATTGTTACTCATTTTCATTCGTAGCTCTACCCAACAAGCCCAAAAACAAGGAAAGAAACCACCCCTAAGATACCAAACCAGACAGCGATCAACCATCAAATTGTTCATCTTTCTTCTTCTTGTTTCAGTCGAAATAATTCTACAACTACTTTATCATTAACGTCAGTTTAAACCTACGTACAACTATACATACTGTAGATCATTCCTACATGACTTTCAATATCAAAATTTAATGTTACACTGTAAAAAGCATATTTGACTTTAATATTACTGCATTTGAAAGCTATATATTCCTGGCTGTTGGTACGCAGTTTGTTTACCATGATATCATGGTCATGTCAGGGTTGGCATCAACGTAGTTTAACTAAGAGCCTAGGACTTTCGTGCAAGGAAAATCAAGTTGAGTCAAAAAATGTTTCGATTATTACAGGCTATTATAGATTCTCGCTAAGAGGTCGATCGAATTGGCCGACCTCGTAACCATTTTGTGCTCTTGCATTTTACAGTGTAACATTAAATTTTAATATTGAAAATCATGTAGGGATGATCTTTGTATAGCTGTATCATCCTTATATTTTTGTTTGCATTCTCTTTGGCACTGCCATCCCTACATCATTTTACATTTACAAAATGTTTTCATTACTTGTTTTTAAATGTGGCCCGCTTCTTATTACGCACATTATACCAAACATATCAACAGAGCTTTTACATCAGTTGTATTTTACATATTTATTTTCTCTCAATAATGTTTTAATCAAAAATGCACATATTCGACCCAAGTGTAATACGTCGCTGTGAGTATGTGAATAGCCTTTCCCTTCTGCACTCGAGAAGGTTATTATGTCCGAAGTATTCTAAGTGAGAATAAATATTATGTCGAAAACGTTTGTTGATATCGCACCCCGAAATCCAAGGAAGCTTAGTATTTTCCAAATCAAGAATTAGTAAGAAATATCGTAAATCCGAACGTTTTATGTTAACAAATCTGTAAAAGTTACTGAAATGCCTTGTCATTTTGTATTTGTACTGTTAACCAATAAGATATCCAATAAGTGTTTCGTTAACATTCTCAGAACAGGAAGGTTTACGTCATGATGGTGTATGCCTGACACATTGTTAGTTGTAATTGTAAGACCTAGAAATGATTCATCGCTTGTATACCTTGAACATTATTATTATTAGTTCAACAGGTAATTTGAGCTTTTTTTTATAATTGTTTCATTACTTTTCACTCAATTTGGTTTCTTATGCAACAGATGTATCACTCACCAGGAAGATCTTCATACGGAACCTTTGAAATAGTGGACATAAATCGAGCCATGAAAGGGCAGTATTCCATATACATCCTCATCACTGAATCTTCATAGCTTCGGAGAAAAGATGTTGGCAATCTGTTAACAAATGGACATAGCATTTTTGTGCTGAATAATTGTTGGCAAGTAGAACCTGTAAAAATAAATGAAAACGTAAGTTGATAGAAGTATTTCAGAGAACTAATGTATAAATTAAGTGAGTCTTATTTTTACCTTAATGTTTGTGGGTAAATTTAGGAACAGCTTATATCAGTTTAATAACATCTTAAGTATTTTAAATACCTGTGCATCATAATAAGCATATTGAAATAGCTGTAGAGAATACGCTTATTTAGTGTTATTGTTCGGTATTGATTATGATGAACAAACTTTTCTCTCTCTACAGTGAATGTGTTCTTTACCGTGGTCATGGTACAATTATAACTTTTAATATTGACTTCTTTGGATGTGAGACGTTTTAACGTGATATTTTGAAATCAAAAATATGTTACTGTTCTTTACAATGTTCCATAAACTTCAGAAAATTTTACAATATCTTAAAATTATTTTTAAAATGCATTAATAAAAATAATTGTTTATGAAGGAAGGCAGCAGGTCAACACTACCCACCCCAACTCTTGGGCATCTCTTGTCAAACGGAACAGTGAAATTTTAAAGTCTCTCTTACAACGTAGCCACGTAAAATAATTTCAATCTCGTAAAATAGTTGTTTAAGACTACAAATGCGCAACGAAAGAAATAAATTAAACACAACTAGAAAATATCCAAGCATAGCCTACTTACGCACCCCAATCCTCTACACAAAAGTGCTTACATATTTGAGCAGCTTAGAGAGGCTCCCTGTGGTATAGCGGTATATCTTCGGATTTACAACGCTAGAAACCGGGTTTCGATACTCGTGGTGGGCAGAGCACAGATAGCCCATTGTGTAGCTTTATGCTTAATTACAAACAAGCTTAGAGAGAAATCTAACATAATACGTGTGTCCATTTGCAAGGAGTTTGCATTAAAGATGATTTTGGATTAAAGAGAGCTGGCAATGTTCATGTAGACTGTATTACAGACTAATAGTTTCTTATCTATTAGGTTGTCGAGAAATCAATGTCGCTTTAGTTTATCCATATATTAGGTCGAGAAATGAATGTCGCTTTTTTGAGATGAAAAAAAAACAAAACAACTTATATATCAAAACAAAACATTTATTAAATGAAAAAGTCTCCATTATTATCGATGATGCTTTTCCATCTTACAATCAGGTTGTCAATGCCCTGATTAAAGAAATCAATTGGCTTTGAAACAAAAAACATGTCGATGTCTTCTTTAACACTTCCACATTTGCATACGTTTT